CACCCCCCTCGCAATCTACTGCGTTTTTCGAGTCTCGAGTCTCTCCTTACTCATCTTTGCAGACTATACTTTCATTGCATCCCTCCCGTTGTTTTCCCGGTGGATCCTGTGGGATACAACATAAATCCCATAATATCCATTCCTCGACTTTCCCATTCCGCTCCCTTGTCCACATCGGTGCTCAAAACCTTCGGCCTCCACTTCGTATCCGTCCCCTAAGGTGGAACCTAGTTGCTTATCACCACCTCTCACTGTCAACCATCGCATCCATTGACCACACACCTCCTTCAACCCACTCTCACCCTATTGTTCACTTGCTCTCCTCCATAATTTTTGTGAAGATCTACAAAACCACGTTGATTTAAAACTCTGTTTTGGCCAGACAGCCACCTTCGCCATCCGGAATCACCACAACTCAAGGTTATTCTAATCGCGACAAATTCGCGAATTATTTCCGTTCTTTTTTTCTGGTTAGTACCGTCCTTCGTTGCCACATCCACGGCCGTTATGCAGCAACGTTTTTGGCCCTGTGTATGTGCGTGTGCATCGGTCAATTTGAGAACAAAGAAACCAATTTCATGGGCGTGGCGTTGGCATTGACATCTGTCTTTGCATTGGTGGGATATTCATGGCTAACTGGACGATATATAGATTTTTTTATTCCCTTCAACCTGCCCAACTACCTACCTCCGGTTGAGCTTTATTTTTTACTTTTTTTACTTTTTATCTTTTATCTTTTATTTTTTTTTTCTTTTTACACCCGTCCCCTGGAGCCTTTCGAAAATCCCACAATCGATGATTTGGACGATCCTACACAGTACCGGTTCGACTTTTTCCTCTATTTCCTTGCTTCATTATGGATCCAAATCATATCAGAGCCCAAGTCTCGAGGCCCACTTCTGGAAATATTCCTCCTCAGGGTCCCCCGTCTCTGTCCAATCTTCACCAGTATCAGATGCAGCCACACTACTCTATGGCCCAACCGCATACTCTGCCCCCACTCCAACATCATCAGAGCCATTCTCCTGTCCATCCCAACTATCTAGGACAGCCGTTCAGGCATGATATGTCCAGGTATCCGCCCACCTCCGCCAGCGACGTATACGCTGCATCTTCCGCCCCAATGCAGCCCCATACCACAGTCAACAGTCTTCCGTCATCCTCTTTCTTAACCCACCACCACAACCAACAGCAATACCACCCGCATGCCCTGATACCTCCTTCAACTACATCGCAGGCTTATCCCCAACTCATTGCGCCTGCCCCTCCTCGGGATAGAAGAACAGAATATGGTGGTGCTCTGCCGTCGGGTGCGTCCAGCAATGCAGATACCAAAGGACCCTTGGTTGCAAATTCACCAGGCTTACCTAATGCTTCCACAGCTTTCGTTCCAAAGGATCCCCCACGTATCCAGGTCGTTGGTTCCCAAGGCCGGAGAGGGATACTCCCGAGTGTCCCAGGTCGCGCAGCTGCCATTACTAACGGAGCAAATGGTACCGGGAAAGCCGCTATCCCTGCCAAGGACGCAGATGGCAAGTTCCCTTGCCCGCACTGCAATAAGACGTATCTGCATGCAAAACATCTTAAACGACATCTACTGAGGCGTAAGTGGATTATGACTATGACTACATATTCGCTTGTCCAAATGAGGGGAAAGAAAATTTTCATCTTCTTTCCTGTTGATGTTTTGACACTGATCAAACCCGTCTTTAACCGCTTTCATTCTATAGATACCGGTGATCGCCCATATATGTGTGTTCTTTGCAAAGACACATTTTCCCGAAGCGATATTTTGAAACGTCACTTTCAAAAATGCTCGTTGCGTCGGGGCAATCCCACGGGTGTTAGCCACTTGTCACATCCCCACGCTCATCTGAAGAAAGCTCAGGCTGCGGGCATTGTCCCTAAACCTGTTTCAGGAGAAGTCAGTAGCTCTGTCCCGACTTCTAATGGCATTGTCGGAACACCGTTTGGGGAAGGGCACGTGAACGGGGTTTCGATGGCCTCTGGCCACAACCCTGGGTACACGGATCAGCGGCCTCCTGGTTATCCGATGCAGCCTGTTAGCGGGATGAACCGTGGTCATGTTGATCATGGATACACCCAAAACCAGATGCATCAGAGAGCTTCCTGGATGGCTGAACCCAAACAGAGTCCGTATCTCTCGCAGTCTGGAGCTGACACAACTGGCCAGTCCAACGTTGATCTCCCCCCCATCGATGCCAAAGCTGCCAACATGCCAGATAATAGACGTCCTAGCACGCAAACGGGGCCGAATCACGGTCAGTCTGGTGATATCGACTGGACTTCGATGTTCCAGGCCGGCACTCATGATGGGTATATGCAGCCAATGTTCCAATCTTCAGTAGCACCTGGCCCCGAGACAATGCATTCTCAAGTGGAGCCTGATCGCAAGTTTTACCCGACAGTAACGAGTGGACAGGCTGAGGGAGGCTTGAATGGACTTTATTTGGCATCAACCAGCTTGGGCGGTGACGGTGCGTCTAACCCCTAAACCTCTCTTCTGGAATGTTTAACATGTCACAGGACACCCAGCTGCACACTAAAATGGACAGCCTCATTGACATTTACTTCCTAATTGGATTTACAGGAACCGTTCAACCTGCTCGACAATAATACTGCGAGGTAGTACCGCATAGCTAAGGGATTGCTTGACGGCCGATAACATGACAGATTTTTCTCGATCTCCTTACTATTTATCAAGGCTATAGGCCCTACTTGAATGTTGCCAATTTTAATTGTTTAGATGCGGACGATGGTTCTTAATTATTGCCATGTGCTGCTATATATTCATGCTGAACACTGCCTGTGTCTCTGTCTGCCATGGTGATCTGGATGAACGCGCCGCAGCAAGCTCCAATATGGCTTTACTATCTCGCATCATTCGTCGCTTTCGTTTTATTACAGCCTTTCGCTCCCCGAATCCCTTCTTATTTTTTGCTTAGTAGTTAGCCCTCCAACCATGCGGCGGACATTTGGCATGTCCGGGTGGAGTAGGAAAAGAGAGATATGGTCTCGTTTCCTTCTATCCACCGGATGCCACGTCTTCGACTACCAACCATCTGGAATTCTCATGAGATCAAATTCCCGGTATCGTGTGATGATGTTGCGTGGGAAGCAGGAGGTCCTGGTACCCAAGCCATCGTTGTTCTCACTTCCAATGTCCATCGCTTTTCTAGTGGATTCGTCACCAATGCCGTTTACAAGTCACTTTCCTGTCCCGTCTGCGCTTCCAAAGATGACACTTATCACCACCAACAAACCAGCTGTTAGGGCACGCTAGTCCCGTGTATCCATCCTGCGTTGCATCATCCCACTAAATCCGCGCACGCAGACAATATTCAAATATGCTCACCAAGCTTCCCAAAAGTGGAAACGCTTTTGGGACCCCGTCATGGCGTTACAATACCCATCTACCCATCTACCCATCGTCTGGTTGGTGCATTGGCATCTACCGTGAAGTTGCTATTTCGGACTTTTCGGA